GTTTATCGTGTGTCAGTGGGTGATGAATGTGTCGTTTACTGTGGTGTAGTGGGTGATTGATTTGTGCGTTTACTGTGTGTTAGTGGGTTGATGATGTGTGGCGTTTACTGATGTGTAGTGGGGTGATGATCGTGTGCGTTTTAAACTGTGTGTAGTGGGTGATGACGTGTGCGTTTAACCTGTGTGTAGTGGGTGATGAAATTGTGCGTTTACCCGTGTGTTAGTTGGTGATGATGTGTGCGTTTACTGTGTGTAGTGGGTGACTGATGTGTGCGTTTACTGTGTGTAGTTGTGATGATGTGTGCGTTTACTGTGTGTAGTTGGTGATGATGTGTGCGTTTACTGGTGTGTAGTTGTGATGATGTGTGCGTGTTACTGGTGCAAAGTGTAGTGATGGATGATGTGACGTTTACTCGGTGCTAGTTGGTGATGATGTGTGCGTTTATGTGTGGTAGTGGGTGATGATAGTGTGGCGTTTACATGGTGTGTAGTGGTGTGATGATGTGTGGCGTTTACCGTGTGTAGTTTGTGATGATCGTGTGCGTTTATAGTGTGTGAGTGCGGTGCATGATGTGTGGCGGTTACCTGTGTTAGTTGGTGATGATGGTGTGCGTTTACCGTGTGTAGTTGTGCGTGATGATGTGGCGATTATATCGTGTGTAGTGGGTGATGAGTGTGCGTTTTACTGTGTGATGCTGTGATCGATGTGTGGCGTTTACTCGTGTGTAAGTTGGTGATGATGTGTGCGTGTTACTGTGTGTAGTGGGTGATGAGTGTGGCGTTTTAACTGTGTGTAGTGGGGTGATGAGTGTGTGCGTCGTTTACTTTTGTGTAGTGGTGATGATGTGTGCGTTACCGTGTGTAGTTGGTGATGAGTGTGCGTTTTACTGTGTGTAAGTTGGCTGATGATCTTGTGCGTTACCGTGTGTAGTTTGGTGATGATGATGTGCGTTTACTGGTGTGTAGTGGGTGATGAATGTGGTGGCATTTGACTGTGTGTAGTTTTTGGTGATGAATGTGTAGCGTTTACTGTGTGTAGTGGTGATGATGTGTGCGTTTACTGTGTGTAGTGGGTGATCGATGTGTGCGTTTACTGGTGTGTAGTGGGTGATGATGTTGCGTTGACTGTTGTGTATGGGTGATGATGTGTGCGTTTACTGTGTGTAGTTGGTGAATGATGTGTGGGTTTACTGTTGTGGTAGTGGGTGATGAATGTGTTGCCGTTTACTGTGTGTAAGTGGGTGATGATGTGTGCATTTTATCGTGTGTAGTGGTTGATGATGTGTGCGTTTACTGTGTGTAAGTTGGTGATGATGTGGTGCGTTTATTGTGTGTAGTGGGTGATGATTGTGGCGTTTACTGTGATGTCAGTGGGTGATGATGTGTGCCGTTTACTGTGTGTAGTGGGTGAATGATGTGTGCGTTTACTGTGTGTAGTTGGTGATGATGTGTGCGTTTACTGTGTGTAGTGGGTGATTGATGTGTGGCGTTTAGTTGTGTGTAGGGGGGTGGGTGATCGAATGTGTGCGTTTTTACATGTGTAGTGGGTGAATGATGTGTGTTTTCTTTTGCGTTTACTGTGTGAGTTGGGTGATGATGTGTGCCAATTTATCGTGTGTAGTTGTGATAGATGTGTGCATTTATCGTGTGTAAGTGGGTGATGATGTGTGCAGTTACTGTGTGTAGTGGAGTGATAATGGTGTGTTAGTGGGTGAGTAATGTGTGGTTACTGTGTTAGTGGTGATGATGTGTGCGTTTACTGTGTGTAGTGGGGTGATGATGTGTGCGTTTAACTCGTGTGTAGTGGGTGGATGATGTGTGCGTTTTACAATGTGTAGTGGGGTGATGATGTGTGCGTTTACTGTCGTGTACGTTTGGTGATGATGTGTGCATTTATCGTGTGTAGTGGGTGATGATGTGTGCATTTATCGTGTGTAGTGGGTGATGATGTGTGCGTTTACTGTGTGTAGTGGGTGATGATGTGTGCGTTTACGTCGTGTGTAGTGGTGATGATGTGTGGCATTTACTGTGTGTAGTGGGTGCCCCTGATGTGTGTAGTGGGTGATGATGTGTGACGTTTACTGTGTGGTAGTGGGTGCTGATGTGTGCGTTTAACCGTGTGTAGTTGGTGGATCGATGTGTGCATTTATCGTGTGTAGTGGTGATGAATGGTGTGCATTTATCGTGTGTAAGTGGTGATGATGTGTGCGTTTACGTGTGTGTAGTGGGTGATGATGTGTGCGTTTACTGTGTGTGTTGTGATGATGTTGTGTTTACTGTGTAGTAATGGTGATGATCGTGTGCGTTTACTAGTGTGTAGTGGTGATGATGTGTGCGGTTTACTGGTGGTAGTGGGTGATGATGTGTGCGTTTACTGTGTTGTAGTTGGTATTGATGTGTGGCGTTTACTGCTTGTGTAGTGGGTTGATTGAAGTGTGCGTTTTACTGGTGTGTAGTCTGGTGATGATGTGTGGCGTTTACTGTGTGTAGTGGGTGATTGATGTGTGCGTTTTACTGTGTGTAGTGGGTGATGAATGTGGTGCGTTTTAGTTACTGTGTGTAGTTTGGTGAGTGATGTGTTGCGTTTACTTGGTTAGTGGGTGATAATTGTGGCGTTTATGGTGTGTAGTTGGTGATGATGTGTGGTTTAGTGTGTGTATTGGTGATGAATTGTGTGCGTTACTGTGTGTAGTGGGATGATGATGTTGCGTTTACTGTGTGTAGTTGGTGATGATGTGTGGGCTTTACTGTGTGTAAGTTGGTGAAGGATGTGTGCGTTTCTGTGTGTAGTAGGTGATAATGTGTGCGTTTATCGTGTGTAGTTGGTGATGATGTGTGCGTTTACTGTGTGTAGTTGGTGATGATGTGTGCGTTTACTGGTGAGTGTAGTGGGTGATGATGTGCTGCGTTTAGAACTGTGTTGTAGTGGGTGACTGATGTGTGGTTAGTGGGTGATGAATGTTGTGCGTTACTGTGTGTAGTCGGGTGATGATCGTGTGCGTTTACTGTGTGTAAGTTGGTGATGATGTGTGCGTCTTACTGTGTGTAGTTTGGTGATGATGTGTGGTTTACTGCTGGTGTAGTGGGTGATTGATCGTGTGGCGTTTACTGTGTGTAGTTGTGATGATGGTGCATATTACATGTGTTGTAGTGGGTGGATGATGTGTGCGTTTACTATGTGTAGTTGTGGATTACGATGTTGTGGGTTTACCGTGTGTAGTTGTGATGATGTTGTGCGCATTTACTGTGTGTAGTGGGTGATTGATGTGTGGCGTTTACCATGTGTAAGTGGGCTGATTGACTGTGTGCGTTTAGCTGTGTGTAAGTGGGTGATGATGTGTGCGTTTACGCATGTGTAGTGGGTGATGATGTGGTGCGTTTACCGTGTGTAGTGGGTGATATAATGTGCGTTAATCGGTGTTGTAAGTTGGTGATGATGTGGTGCGTTTACTGTGTGTAGTGGGTGATGATGTGTTGCGTTTACTGTGTGTAGTGGGTGATGATGTGTGCGTTTAACTGTGTGTAGTTGGTGATGAGTTGTGCGTTTGACTGTGTGTAGTGGGTGATGATGTGTCGCGTTACTGTGTGTAGTTGTGATGATGTGTGCGTTACCTGTGTGTAAGTGGGTGATGATGTGTGCGTTTACCATGTGCTAGTGGGTGATGATGTGTGCGTTTTATCTGTGTGTAGTTGGTGATTGAATGTGTGCGTTACCGTGGTAGTGGGTGATGCTGTGTGCGTTTTACGTGTGTAGTTTGGTGATGATCGTGGTGCGTTTACTTGGTGTGTAGTGGGTGGATGATGTGTGCGTTTTACGATGTGTAGTGGGTGATGATGTCGTGCGTTACTTGTGTGTTTAGTTGGTGATGAATGTGTGGCGTTTAACTGTGGGTGTAGTGGGTGATGATGTGTGCGTTTATGTGTGTAGTGGTGATGAATGTGTGCGTTTACTGTGGTGTAGTGGGTGATGATGTGTGGTTTACTATTGTGTAGTTGGTATGATGTGTGCATTTACTTGTGGTAGTGGGTGATCGATGTGTGCGTTTACTGTGTGGTTAGTGGGTGGATGATGTGTGCGTATTACTGTGTGTAGTGGGTGATGATGTGTGGTTTAACTGTGTGTAGTTGTGATCGATGTGTGCGTTTAAGCCGGTGTGTAGTGGGTGATGCAGTGTGCAGTTACCGTGTTGTATTGCTGATGATTGTGGCATTTATCGTCGTGTAGTGGGTGATGAAAATGTGTGCATTTTACTGATGTGTAGTGGGTGATGATGTGTGCGTTTACTGTGTGTAGTGGGTGATGATGTGTGCGTTTACTGTGTGTAGTGGGTGATGATGTGTGCGTTTACCGTGTGTAGTTGGTGATGATGTGTGCGTTTACTGTGTGTAGTGGGTGATGATGTGTGCGTTTATCGTGTGTAGTGGGTGATGATGTGTGCGTTTACCGTGTGTAGTTGTGATATGTGTGCATTTATCGTTGTAAGTGGGTGATGATGTGTGCGTTCTATCGTGTGTAGTGGATGATGATTTGTGCGTTTACTAGTGTGTAGTGGGTGATGGATGTGTGCGTTTATCGTGTGTAGTGGGTGGATGATGTGTGCGTTTACTGTGTGTTGGGTGATGATGTGTGCGTTTAGCTGGTGTGTACGTGGGTGTATGATGTGTGCGTTTAACTGGTGTTTTGTATTGTGCTGATGTGTGCGTTTTACCGTGTGTGTGGGTGATAATGTGGTGGCGTTTACTGTGTGTAGTGGGTGATGATGTGTGCGTGTTACTGTGTGTAGTTGGTGATGAATGTGTGCGTTTAACCGTGTGTAGTGGGTGATGATGTGTGCGTTACTGTGTGTAGTGGTGATGATGTGTGCGTTTACTGTGGTGGTCAGATGGGTGATGATGTGTGCGTTTACTAGTGTGATAGTGGGTGATTGATGTGTTGCGTTTTACCTGTGTGTAGTTGGTGATGATGTGTGGCGTTTACGGCGTGTGTAGTGGGTGATGATGTGTGGCGTTTACTGTGTGTAGTCGGTGATGATGTGTGCAGTTTACTGTGTGTAGTTGGTGATTATAGTGTGCGTTTACCGTGTGTAGTGGGTAATGATAGTTGTGCGTTTACTGTGGTGTAGTGGGTGATGATGTGTGCGTTTACTGTGTGTAGTGGGTGATGATGTGTGCGTTTACGTGTGTAGTGGGTGATGATGTTGTGCGTTTACTGTGTGTAGTGGGTGATGATGGTGTGCGTTTACTGTGTGTAAGTGGTGATGATGTGTGCGTTTTACTGGTGTGTAGTGGGTGCATGAGTGTGTGCGTTTACCTGTGTAGTGGGCGATGAATGTGTGCGTTTTACTGGTGTGTAGTGGTGATGATTGTGCGTTTACTGTGTGTAGTTGGTGATGATGTGTGCGTTTATGCGTGTGTAGTGGTGATGATGTGTGCCGTTTACGTGTGTAGTGGGTGATGATTGTGCGTTACTGTGTGTAGGCGGTGATGATGTGTGCGTTTATGTGTGTCAGGCGGGTGAGTGATGTGTCGTTTACTGTTGTGTAGTGGCAGAGCACTGAATCGAGATGGACATTTCATGGAACCCAGTAGGTTGAGGAGGGTCTGCCACAGCGTGTCCTGCTGAACGTAGCCCAAGAATGCAACACAGCTGGCAGATAACTGAACCTGGCAGGCACGACAGCAACCCACATGGTGTTAGGTGAGAAATATGTAGCAAGTAATATCTAGCCATTTCACGTTAATGCTATACCTTGGTAGGACCGTATGTCCAGAAGATCATTCGGCGGAGAAGATAATTCGCTGGCTACATATCATAGTTTCACCATATTTGTGTGTCCTTCGTGTGTAGTGGGTGATGATGTGTGCGTTTACTGTGTGTAGCGGGTGATGATGTGTGCGTTTACTGTGTGTAGCGGGTGATGATGTGTGCGTTTACTGTGTGTAGTGGGCAAGCAGTCTGATCGACATGGACATTTCATGGAACCCAGTAGGTGAGGAGGGTCTCCACAGCTGTCTGCTGACGTTAGCCCAAGATGCAACACAGCTGCAGATACTGAACCTGGCAGGCACGACAGCAAACCCACATGGTGTTAGGTGCGAATATGTAGCAAGTATAGTCTACCATTTCACTTAGTGCTATACCGTGGTAGGACCCCGTATGTCCAGAAGATCATTCGGCGGGAGAAGATATTCGCTGCCTACATATCATAGTTTCACGCATATTGTAGTGTCCTGTTTTATAGATAATAAGGATTTTACTGCTTCTGCTGCTACTGCTACGACTATAGTGACGTGAACACTTGCTCTTCATGCATAGGTCTGTCATCGGTGGATGTGGCAAGCTGCAGTCATTGAACCTGACGTCGTGTAGGTGCATGCCGCGTGGAGTGAAGCGACAGTTTGATGGGAAGAAGCAGCTAAAAGAGCTGCGCCGATCTCTTAATGCCCAACAAGATAGCTAGCACTGGTTAGCTAGAGACAGCGCGTAGCAAGGATCACTAAAAGTCGAGCCAGCAGCAAAATGCATAGTCAGTGTTTTTTTGATTGAGTGCCAGTAACAAAGAGCTTGATTATTGTATCCCCCGAACGAAGTTAAGGAAATTTAAATTTAATATTTGTATTAAAATGTGTATTTAAATTTATATTTAAATTTATGATTGTCATCAAATATATATATAGGACATGTTATATCGGCCCTGTGTGCCCAAATTCCATGACAATCGGGTAAAAACAGCACAAGTTACAGGTTCTACAATATTTCTACAAAAATGTTGTTACCATGGCAACGATGACTCCGCCCACACAAAAAACGATTGGCGTCTTCGCTTTACCATAACGCACCTTCATGCCAAATTTGAAGATGATCCGAGATCGGGTAAAAACTCCCCACCAGGTCACTGCGACCTTTATTTCACCTTTACCTTGACCTTGATCATATTTCTCTTCCGCTCTCTAACTCAGCCCCTAATTGACCTAGCGTGACCAAACTTGGTATGCTTACACATCTTGGGGAGAAGGTCTGTCGCATACCAAAACCACCACGGCCCTTGACCTTAGTTTGACCTTCACCGTCGACTTACATTTTCTCTTCGGCCTCCTAGGGTAACCAGATTCCATATACTTGCAGAGGCGGAGGCACACCAGTT